GATTAGGGAGCATGACCTGCAGTTGCTAGGCAACGGCAAAGCACTAGGCAACTAGGGAAAGACGGCGAGAATCAATTCAAAAGAAGGCCGTTCTATTTAGGAACAAGACCAGCAATTCCCCCCCCCCCCAACAAAAACAAAACAAAACAGGAAGACACATCTGGGAAAACAAACCATAACAGATCATTGATACCCCTATAAATGGTGGTTTTGCACATGGCAGGCAAAGCACAGAATGCTCAAATTATTACCATTTGTGGAAGCCCCATTAGCTAATGTTTTTAGGAGACTACAAAGGGGGCTTCTTTTGGAGGAAATTGGGAGCAGCCATGGAGCAGACTCTCCAAGAGTCTCAATTTTCCAGGGACAGTCCCAGATTTACAGAAGGCATCCCGGTTTCTGATTTGATCCTAGAATGTCCCACTTTTCCTTAGGACGTCCCTATGTTCCTCAGATAGGGACACAGGTGGCGCTGTGGGTTAAACCACAGAGCCTGGGACTTGCCAATCAGAAGGTCGGCAGTTCGAATCCCCGTGACGGGGTGAGCTCCTGTTGCTTGGTCCCTGCTCCTGCCAACCTAGCAGTTCGAAAGCAAGTCAAAGTACAAGTAGATAAATAGGTACCGCTCCAGCGGGAAGCTAAACGGCATTTCCGTGCGCTGCTCTGGTTCGCCAGAAGTGGCTTAGTCATGCTGGCCACATGACCTGGAAGCTGTACGCCGGCTCCCTCGGCCAATAAAGCGAGATGAGCACTGTAACCCCGGAGTCAGCCACGACTGGACCTAATGGTCAGGGGTCCCTTTACCTTATGTTCCTCAGAGAATTGTTGAAGGGTATAGTAGGACATCCCTATTTTGATTGGAGAAATGTTATGCGACCCCCGAGCCAAGGAGATAAGTAACTATACAACCTTTAGAAGATATATGAAGGCAGACCTATATAGGGAAGTCTTTTTTTAAATGTTTTATTATGTTTTTATATATGTTGGAAGATGCCCAGAGTGGCTAGGGCAACCCAGTTAGATGGGCAGGGTATAAATATAAATTATGCAAGCACTAATTGCACATCCACTTTTCAGAGTTTTGGTATTTCACCTAAATGATGGGGAACGTACTGTGTCACCCCTTTGGCAAGATACACGGGTGCCAGATGTGAATGGAGATGGAGCACACACAGTTAACTTTAGAAACAGCATCTGTGTTTCCTCTTTCCTCCGCCTTACTCCACCAGAAATGTGAAAAGGAAATGTGGTTTCTCCTCCTCACTGTAACAGCCCAAGACAAAGCATCTCCTGGTAAGTTAGAGCTTTAGGGCATATTTACTATATTTATTAAAATATTTCTATACTTCTCTTCACTTAAAAAAAAATCTATATCAGAGCAGTTCAAAATAATGAAACATAAAACCATTCAATAAAAACCATCAAAACTGTTATAAAGGGATATTTTCTTAACTGCCAGCATCCTCTTGGTGGCACAGAAAAGTTTTCGATGGGTGTTTAAAAGTTTAAGTAGAAGACACCTGCAGAATCTTTGTTGACAGATCTGGGCCAGTGGCATAAAAAGGCCCTTTTTGTGTAAAAGTAAGTGCAGCCAATGCCCTGTTTCCAAGTTAACAGAGCTTTTGCAAACACCTGGCATAGTTCTGATTTTAAACAGAAAAATGAAACAGGGGTGAGCAAAATAGCTAATTTGGGCCTTCCAGTTGGACAGTTCATATATCCTGAAAGCATATTTATTGCCAGTGACCTACTTGAGGTTTTAGAACCCTCAGTCTAAAGTCCAGACTCAATAAACAAAAATCCAGCACACAATCAAATGAATTTCCTTTTCTAGAGATTTGTCTGCATTACCGCCTTCCAGTTAATGACATTCCCAGTTTGTAGTCATGGTGATTATTGGGTCCACTTTTGCTTGTATGCTGCATTTATTTCCATTAAATATCTTCATGTGACTGAGCCTTTCTGCTAATCCTGTTTGCTAATCTTGCCATTTTGCTTTGCCTCCCTCCTCCTTCGCCACCTCAAATCCCCCAAGAGCTGTGCTATGTGCTGCAGTAGCAGCGATTGCGTTGACAGTTTGGCCGCCATTTTGCTTCATCCCCCATTTTGCTTCATGCCCCGAACCTGGGTGGTGTAAGTACATGTTTGTATGTAGTGGAATCTCAGCTGTGATGAGAAATGGTGGGGAATATTCAAAGAAGATTCTGTAATGTGGCCACCTTTCTTTCCTAGGGTGGTGAAAATGAGAAAAATCTCTGAAATTTTCTCAGGTAAAACATCTTATGAGAAATTCCAGCTTGGCGCTAAAACTTCTTCTGGTACTTCATTATTTGTTCAAAGTCTTTGGTGGAAATGTTTAGACAGGGATGTCATACTTGTGGCCTGGTCGTTGTTGATGGACTGTAACTCCCATCAACATGGCCAATGGTCAAATATTATGGAGGACCATAGATTCCTTAGACAGACAGAATGAAGCTGCAATCCAGCCCTGTTTAATTTAATGTAGTATGAAGTTTAACTACATCCTGAGAACATTTGGGGTTGCAATTCTATGTCTGCCTTTTGGGAATAATAATAATAATATTAATACATTTATTTATACCTCACATTTTTCCTTGGCAGGACTCAGGGCAGCTTATTATTTTTATTATGCCTTTTTGGTTTTGATATTGTGATTTTGTGCAGGTTTAGGACAGTATACAAATTTAATAAATAATAATAATTACAGATAAAAACAGAAATCTCTAAATACATTATAAAGAAATATTTTCTAAAAAAAAATGTAGATATAAAACTACATACATATTTAAAATCCATTTAAAATATACAAATAATTACAATAAAAAGCAGCTTGGCACCAGAGCTTTCATTAAAAGCACCAGTTCCCCAAAGCCTGTTGGAACAAAAATAAATAAATCTTCGCCTTCCCGTTGAAGGACAGCAAAGATGAAGCCAATCTAGCTTCTCCATAGAGGGAGTTCTAGGGAATATGCCCCTTTGAGCTTCAGTGAGACTAGTTTCTGAGTAGACATGTGTAGGATCACACTATAAACAAGTCAATCTAGGTAAATAAGTGACTTTTAAGCTTCACTTTGCAGCCCTGCTCATGGGAGTTCCTACTGCAGATCCCTATTTTCTAGGGACAGTCCCGGATTTACGGAAGCTGTCCTGGGTTCTGGTTTGATCCCGGAATGTCCCGCTTTTCCTTAGGACGTCCCTGTTTTCATCGGAGAAACGTTGGAGGGTATGAAGTTATGTGTCCCCCGAGCCAAGGAGGTAAGAAACTATACAACCTTTAGAAAACATCTACAGTGGTACCTCGGGTTACATACACTTCAGGTTACATACTCTTCAGGTTACAGACTCCGCTAACCCAGAAATAGTACCTCAGGTTAAGAACTTTGCTTCAGGATGAGAAAAGAAATCGTGCGGTGGCAGCGCGAGGCCCCATTAGCTAAAGTGGTGCTTCAGGTTAAGAACGGACCTCCGGAACGAATTAAGTACGTAACCGGAGGTACCACTGTATAGGGAAGTTTTTTAAAAATGTTTGATGTTTTATTCTGTTTGTATATACCGGTGTGGTGTTCAGTACACAGTATGTTTAGTGTTAAGGTTTAGCCTTATTATAAGCTATTGTAAGTTTAAGTTAACTCTGCTTCAACTGGATTTCTTATGGACAGTGCCAATCCTAAATGTACTGGATTTGTGACCATTATGCTCATTTGCCTTCTGTAGCACTAAAGCTCTGCTGGATGAAATATAATTGCCCCTGGTCTATTTTTTTTTGGGGGGGGGGACTCCTGCAACGTGTTTTAAGTTTTTACTCTGCTAACTATGTACTGGAATCTGCTCTGGATCAATATTGAGTAGAATTTCACGACTCTTTGCTTCAAACTCCCAGCAGGTTGTAATCAGGAGGAAAGTGATCTTGAAAAGCCGCAAGGCCAATCAGGGCTGTAAACTGCAGGAAACGGATGGAAGAGGCCTCTAAGAGGGGAGTTAGCCTTCTGAAAGTGCCTTCCTTTGCCTCAGATTCATTTGCCAGCCTGGGTGGGCAGATTCAATCCAGGGGTTGACGATATGAAACTGCTTAGGCAGATGCTGCAGTTTAGTGACTCAGCAACCAGGGCAGCCACGCACAACTCTCAACGCTCCTGAGCCACAGCGGCTCTCACAGGTCCAAGAGCCATGCGCCATGAATGCAGAAAAGTCAGGTTGTTTCCAGAGAAGGCTGCTAAGCAGTGTGCAGAAGATGATGTCACCATCTATCTGAGACGAAAGAGAGAGAAGAGGCAGAGTGATGAGTTGAATTGCTTTTGCAATTATGTCAAAAATACCACCCCTGCAAAGAGACAATTCATTCTTTCCCCGTTTTCAGCCTGTGAGCATTTTATCCACATTCATGTAAACACATTTTCAAGGGCTTGTGAATATATCAATCCATAATTTATCAGGTTTTGATCTTAATCGGACTTTGCGCGGACAAGTATAATGAAATCTGAAACGCATTCATAGACAATACAGCAGGTTAAAAATTGCAATTGTTAATTGCGTGGACAGGCGGAGTCCCCAGATCCCGAGCGGTCCCCCCCGTCATGTGGAATAACGACTCATGACAACGTGCTATGGGATTAAATTGGCCACAACTTTATTAAATTTCAAATGTGGGTAGACCTTGGCTCAGGCATTGGGCGTTCTCCCTCCCCAGTCCCCAGCCGGGGACCTAGGGAGCATCAGGGTTATCCAGTGTGTGTGGGGGGGATGGGCCGGCTCTGGAGAACATATGTTCAAGCAGAGATAGCCACCCCTGTTACGCCGCCGCTGCGGGGAAGAGCAACAACGACCTTTCGGCGTACGGTCAAAGCCTCCCTTCAGAAACCCCTTTAACGGGGAACCCTGGTATCGCCGCCACAAAGAGGAAGATGGACTAAAGGATTCCGCCCAAGGCCTGATACCGCCACCCGAGACCGCAAAGATTGCGGTCTCGCCGCCAAGACTACCTACATCTGAAAAGCCCCTTTGCCATCCTCCAACCAGTCAATCAGGCCATGCCTGATGTCGCTCAGCCAACACTCATTACCAAGGTCCGATAGGTGCACGCCATCAGGCCGAAATAACTCCTGCATGTAAACTTTAATGTTGGGGTGTTTCACGACCCGACCTCCCATGCGAGTGGTTGCAGAGCGCACTGCCCTATTGATTTTTTCCACAGTGTAATTCAGTCTAGTGGATTTGATGTTGCCCCGCCAATGCAAGCGTGGCAGAAGTTCGGACCAGAAAATCGTGATACTGGGGTGAGTGGCGTGTACGCTTTCCAGGTCTGCGATTGCTGTTTTGATCAGAATTATGCTTTTACGCACGACCAAGTCATTTTCGCCGAGGTGGAGCACAACCGCGTCTGGCGGGTGGCGGAACACAAGTTCGTGACGCAACCGAGGGAGCAGGGCATCCCACCGCATTCCACGTTGTCAGAACCAGGAAATGGAGATCTTTGGCTGGTGTGGGCAGGTAATCCCTCCCCTACCTGGCCTGGTCTCCTTGGCAACGCTTCCCCCAGGTGGGATTGGACAACTGACTGAGGTAGGCGGAGACCTCCAGGTATCCCACCTGGGGGAAGGCAAACCAAGCCTATGCTGTTGGAGCCGCTCCAGATCTAGGGGCTGCGCGCGTCCACGCAAAGGGCGCCCCCCGTTTTAAGCGGGGAGCGGTCATTGCTGACAATTGCAGTGGTGATATACTGTATATTATTTTATTTTATTATTATTTTTTCTTTCTTCACTTCTCTTCCTTTTGAGAATAGCACTTTATATGTCAACAAACAAACAAAGAATTTTTATCAGACCACTACTTCTACTTCACACTTAGTTATACAACAACAGGCTCTTTGAGACAGGGGACCAGGGCCAGTCCAAGACATTTTGGCACCTGAGGTGAACCACAAAATGGTGGCCACTCCCCACCCCCGTCGGAAGGAAGGAAGGGGTGAGTGAAGATCTATGTCAGGAAAAAAGGGGGACTAAAGATCTATATTGGAATCTGTTGGCCTTGTGGACAATGTCGCCTGAGGCAGTTGCCTGTGTATCATTCACTTGGCGTGATGGTTGATCATGTTGTAAGAGAATACAGTGGTACCTCAGGTTACATACGCTTCAGGTTACAGACGCTTCAGGTTACAGACTCCACTAACCCAGAAATAGTACCTCAGGTTAAGAACTTTGCTTCAGGATGAGAACAGAAATCGTGCTGTGGCGGTGTGGCAGCAGTGGGAGGCCCCATTTGCTAAAGTGGTGCTTCAGGTTAAGAACATTTCAGGTTAAGAACAGACCTCCAGAACGAATTAAGTTCTTAACCTGAGGTACCACTGTATCGGGGAAATTTCTTTCTTTTAAATCAGCCTTTCCCAGCCTGCTGTGCTCCAGATATTGTTGGACGTCCGTTCCCATCTGCACCAGGCATGGCCAAAGTTAAGGGATGATGCGCATTGTAGTCCAAGAACATAATGATGATCATGTTATTTATTTATTTATTTACACACACACACACTGTCCAACTGGATGGGTTTCTCCTGCCACTCTGGGCGGCTCCCAACAGAATATTAAAAATACGATAAAACATCAAACATTAAAAACTTCCCTAAACAGGGCTGCCTTCACATGTCTTCTAAAAGTCAGGTAGTTGTTTATTTCCTTGACATCTGATGGGAGGGCGTTCCACAGGGCGGGCACCACTACCAAGAAGGCCCTCTGCCTGGTCCCTGTAACTTCACTTCTCGCAGTGAGGGAACCACCAGAAGGCCTTCGGCGTTGGACCTCAGTATCCGGGCTGAACAATGGGGGTGGAGATGCTCCTTCAGGTATGCTGGGCTGAGGGCATCAGGTTGGGGGAAGCCATTCTAAGGATCACCCACCTACTCCTAATCACTCTGTATATATACAGAGTATATGTTCACTCTGTATATGTGCTGTTTATATTTCTTTGTGTACAACCTCAACTGTCATATGGCAGCAGAAGAGGAGGAGTTGGAGGAGTTGGTGTTGGAGGAGACTCTTGAGAGTCCCATGGACTGCAAGAAGATCAAACCTATCCATCCTTAAGGAAATCAGCCCTGAGTGCTCACTGGAAGGACAGATCCTGAAGCTGAGGCTCCAATACTTTGGCCACCTCATGAGAAGAGAAGACTCCCTGGAAAAGACCCTGATGTTGGGAAAGATGGAGGGCACAAGGAGAAGGGGACGACAGAGGACAAAATGCTTGGACAGTGTTCTCGAAGCTACAAACATGAGCCTGACCAAACTGCGGGAGGCAGTGGAAGACAGGAGTGCCTGGTGTGCTCTGGTCCATGGGGACACAAAGAGTCGGACACAACTAAACGACTAAACAGCAAAAACAACAACAGAGAGGTGCCCACTTAAGATTCAAAAACAAACATGACACTTTGACTCAACAGATGGTTTGACTTCATAGATAAAAGTGAAACGAGTGATCTACTTGTGTACATAGCGGAACGTGTAAGGAAGTTGCTGCGGTGGTATTGCATCAGTGACATATTGCAGGTACTTCTGCTCTCCTTTTCCCAAACAGGTGTGTTTTTAAAGGCAAAAGTGGCTCCAAGGCTGAACAGAAGATTGGCAGGGTAGGAGGGAGGAAAGGTGCTTAACCCTTTCCTCCTCAAGCCATCTGTCTGTGCCTGCTGCTTTTCCCCCCTTGCCAGCAAAACAGTAGATGGAGGCAAGATGATTTTGAGTGGACAAATGGTCCGAGTAGAAAAGTTGAGCATCAACTCCACACATCACCTGTTGTCAGCTCCTCCTATCTACTATATATATAGCATACTCCTGGAAATTTCCACAAGCAGAGCCACATATTACATTGCTCATCCAATAGACCGCAAATAAACAAATTCCCTCTCCAGCCTTGTTCTCAACACACATCTTACAAATACTTTTAAGTTTATTCATCATAAAACAAGAAAACACAGCTGACTGAGTTGCTTTAAAAAGAAGGTTGTCCCTTTTATTCATTCATCCATTCTTTTGATGTTCGTATCTCATAAAATGAATTTCCCCAAACCAATTTTAGCATACAACTGATCCCAGTACTTACATGTCATTTTTGAGCATGAATGGATGGCACTTTGTAGGCAGAAACCTTCCCATCTGTCATAAAGGCTAACGAGCAATCACTGGGACTGCTGGTTTTATGGTCTTCTGTGCAAGTGTTCTCACAATTGAACACAGAGCTCTTTATGCCCTTCTGCATTCTCATTGGGGAAGGTGAATCACTGACCATTTCAATGTCATGCTATAGCAAAGACCTCTCTGTGAGTCTTTTAAGGTCATAGCTGCACATTTCATTAAAGCTGAGGCATCTGACAGAGAAATAAAAAAAAACTGGCAAGCAAACAGCACATTTCAGAAAAACAAAAATCTGAAGGAGAAAAACTATATTGGCCAAACAGAACCTTTATGGTTGCCAGAACCCTGAGATGGATTGATAGACATGGCTGTGTCATATATTTAAAACACAACTTTCTCCAAAGAATTTTGGGAACTTCAGAGAGCTCCAATCCCCAGCAATGTTAGCAAAATACAGTTCCCACAATTTTCAGACTTGGACTCTAGAAGAAGCATTGGAAAACGTTGTGGGGATGGACAGGAAAGTGAGCAAGACATGCACATGAGAATCTCATGGCATGACATATGCTATGTGCTTTAAATTCTGGTGTGTACATAGCCCATAAGGCAGGAATGCTAGAGAGCAAAACTGGGTATATTCCAACCTAGTTAGAAAGAGAGCGTTCTTTTAATGTTTGCCAATCAGATAGCAAATGAAAGCGCTTCATGAACAGAAACACGGATGAAGTCTCTGAGGAAGGAAGGGGAGGAAGGAAACTCTATAAAAAACAATATTGGGAGTAGGCTGAAAAGTTGAGGTCAACATGACTATGAAAGGTGGGTGGAGACCTGAGAAAAACCTGAAGAGCCCAGGAAACTGTGCAGCTTGTGATACCTTGAGACCACAACAGACCAAAGGCAACGAAAATGGGAACCCCAAAAAGGAACTGCAAGTAGAAGTTAAAAGCAATTGGGGAGAGAAAATGAGTGTGAAATCTTCATATCCCTGAAATTCAAACCCGCAGGGTCTCAAATGCATTGAGATAAGAAATATCCATTTTGTCTAACCCATTGCTTTTTGCTCCTACTTCTGGCTTCGAATGTCACCTGGGTGTGGTGGAATGAAGAGGTTTTACTAAGTTGCCCAAAGGGTATTACACACTTCACAAGCTACTGAAGGCAGAGCTACTCTGGACTGATTATTTACGGATAAAGCAGGGTTCTAAGTCTCCCAGGAAGCCTCTTGCTTAGCTCATGAGCCACACCCCCAGCCACAACCAGCACACTTTCCTGGGCAGATTTGAAAATGGGAGGGTGACAAGGAGTTAGGGAGCTCCAGAAGTCCAGAATGCCGGAAAACCACACTCACTGCAAATGTTACAGGTCATGTGACAAGTAGAGGGCACAATGGTGGGAACTTTTTGTGCTGGCGATCAATGCAGCAGAACATACTGTGCATAATTGGCAGGATGAAAGGGGTCAAGGATCACAGAGTTCTTAATTGCTAGAAATGACTCGGATTGGTCATGACCCCTCGCCTTTGGGGATGGAGAAAATAAAAGTTGTTCCCTGTCCGTCCCCCCTCCTCTTTGAACCATGTAACTGAGCAGATGTCTGAGGGTGGGGCTCCAGACTCACACTGGGTGTTTGAAACTATTTTGTAACTATTTTGTTTCTGCTGTGGCACTGAGCAATGTATGAGACCTCTGATTACTGTAAGTAAAGCATTTAAACTTACTTAACATTGCAGTCTATTAGCTCTTACAGTGGTAGAGGTGGGGGAGTACAATTTTAAATGCCAAATACTGGGACATTTAAAGGTCTAACAAACTATATTTCCTGAGCTTTGTGAACGCTGCACATATCTCTTTTGTGGGGGCTCTTTTGACTAGAAAGTGAGTTAATTGGCATTCACCAGTTATTTTCCAACACCTTGAATGGAAACCAAGCAGTAAAATAGCACTTTTATTGCTGTAGGAAAAATCACAACTGGTTAATTCTCCAGAATTGAAAAAAAAAATGGAAAAATACGCAGGAACCAGTCTAGCATAATCTGAAAACACCAGCAAAAAAAATTAGAAAAATTTAGAAAAATTAGAAAAGAAGGGAGTGAATAATGGATTATATGACAGTCTGACTTCGCTCTGTGGTCCCCAGATGTTGTTGGACTTCATCTCCCATCATCCTCAGCTAGTTTAGTCAAAGGGACAATTAGAGTTGTAGACCACCAACATCTAGTGACTGAAGGTTGAAGAACACTGCACTATAATATCCCAAGGGGAACTTATTTTTAGGAAAACGTGCAGACTGTACATGCGCCTGAAGCTTACATATTGCCTGCCTAC